AGCAGTTTATACGAATGGTCACAGCCAACGTCCCCTGAGCACTGACCCTGTGCCAGGCCCTGTTCCAGGCACTCTCCCTGCTCCACTGATAGTCCTCACAACATCCCTGGTAAAGTGTGGACTTTTCCCCAAAGCTGCTGACTCTGGACCCAATTGGCTTCCCTCTAGGAAGCTGCTACCCAAAGAGAACAGTAACATTTTTGAGCATGCCTTATTGTTTTAATATGCTTGTTAATTTGAGGTATACCATAAGGCATACCTCGGCAAAATGTTCAGTCCTAAGTGTTCATTTCAATTCATATTTAATCTGTGTCCCCACTTATAGTAACTTCCACTAGATCAAGCTATCAGGCATTCTCAATCCCTAGCAGGTTCCCTCTGCATCTCCCAGTCAGTTCCCCCAAAAGGCATCACTGTTCTGATTTCCTTCCCCATACATCGGATTGGCCTCTTCTTGAAGGTTACATGTATGGATTCACATGGTGTGCATGGCTTTTTGTCTAGGGTCCTTTCACTTGGTATCCTGTTTGTCACAATTATATTTTGGGAGTGAGTGGTGACAAATAACTTACCATTTTGTTCATAGCCTTCAGATCTTAGGTTAGGATATGAACCAAAATTCTAACATTGAGATGGGGACAGTGACTGGATGGGATTGTCACATAAAAGAGGAGGTGAGAGTATTGAGTGTGGAGGAGAAATCATACACAGTCGCCCTTTGGGATCCATGGGGCATTGGTTCCAGGATCCTGCACAGATACCGCATCCACAGATGCCCAAGTCCCTAATATAAAGTGCCATAGAATTTGCATATAGCCTACACATAGACTCCTCCCATATATTTTAACTCATCTCTAGCTTCCTTACAATACCCAGGACAATGTAAGTGCTGTGTAAATAGTTGTGCTGCTGTATTGTTCAGGGAATAATAAGAAAAAAAGGCCTATACTTATTCAGTACAAAGGCAACCATTTTTTTCCAAGTATTTTAAATCCACAGTTAGTCGAATCCATGGATGCGGAACCTGTAGCCTCAACCATTTAGTTGCCCAACTGGAGATGGAGGAATAGGCCTGGGTGCCTGAACAGAGCAGACACCGTGACAACCATGACAAGAGGTGGTTAGAGGGGTCTTGGCCTTGGGAAGTAGGAAGAGGAGAGCGTGACATCAGGACTAGGTTCACATTATCAGTAACCTGTCCCTGTTCACCATTGTTTGGGTTCCAAAGCTAATGGCCATACCTCATCCATATCACTCCTTCCCCATTCTTGAAACTTTATCCACTTGTCATTTCTATTCTGACACTGGGCCCCAGGATGCCCCCCACATCCTGGTCTCCATGTCTCACCCTCTCCACTGCTCACTCCGGAGTGCTCTCCAACACTGGCCTACAATTCATGGGTTGTGAGATGTGCGTTTCCATTAACAGTCCCTGAACACCAGCAACTCAGGTGCAGTTGCATTTTTCTTGGGCCTGGACACAGCTTTAGGGCTCATGTTTTACCAGCAGCCAAAGCCCTGCTGGAGGGTGCTTATGGAGAAGTGAGCTGGAGACCCTGCCTCTATCACGTCTGCACTGCATCCTGGTATTCTTGGCTCTGGCAAGATCGTGGCACTGTTAAAGCCTCCTCTATTCTGTCACCTTGAGAGTCTTACTACTGCCCAGCAGGTGCTTCCTCCCGCTTCCTCAGCACCTTTGTCTTACTGACAATTCCACAGGCTCATTCCTGGGTCAGACTTTGTGAAGGGGCTGTTTTCTCCCACTAAAGTTAACAAGAATTGTACCAGCATTTCATTGCTTTCAGCTTTTTGGCATGGATTGGAAGGTAAGGAAGAGCTCTCTCTCTGACCATAACGCTGAGAAAGTGTCACGTGTCAAGAATCCCAGGCAGGTCCTTTCACCCAGAACCTACACCTGCCATGTGTGTGGTTTTCTTTTTTCTTTTTCTCCTTCCTTCCTTCTCTTTCTCTCTTTCTTTCTCTTTCTTTCTTTTTCTTTCTCTTTCCTTCTTTCTTTCTTTCTGCCTTTCTTTCTTTCTGCCTTTCTTTCTCTTTCTTTCGTTTCCTTCCTTCCTTCCTCTTTCTTTCTTTCTCTCCCTTCCTTCTTTCCCCTTCCTTCATTTCTCTTTCTCTCTTTTCTTTCATTTCCTTCTTTCTTTTCTTTCTTCTTTCTTTTCTTTCTTTCTTATTTTTCTTTCTTTCTTCTTTCTCTCCCTTCCTTCTTTCCCCTTCCCTCCTCTTTATTTCTTTTTTCTTTTCTTTTTCCCTTTGTTTCTTTTTTTCTCCTTCCTTCCTTTCTTTCTTTTCTTCCTTTCTTTCTCTTTCTTTCTTTCCTTCTTTCTTTCTTTCTTTTCTTTGTTGCTTTTTCTCTGTCCCTCTCCTTCCTTCTTTCCTTCCTTAATTTCTTCTTTTCTCTTCTCTTTCTTGCACAGGGTGTCACTCTGTCACCAAGGCTGAAGTACAGTGGTACAGCTGCAGCCTCAACCTCTTGGGCTCAAACAATCCTCCCACCTCAGCCTCCCAAGTAGCTGAGACTACAAGTGCACACCACCACACCCAGCTTATTTAAAAAATTTTTTTAGAGACAGGGTCTCACCATGTTGCCCAGACTAGTCTCAAACTCCTGGCCTGAAGTAATTCTCCCACCTCAGCCTCCCAAAGTGCTGGAATTACAGGCATAAGCCACTGCACCTGGCCATGTGGTCTACTCTTGAAAGACACTTTGCACCTGGCTGGATACCAAGTAACACACCCAGGGCAGAAATCATCATACACATGTGGTATGTGGAGAAGATTCTGAGTGAGTGTAAACCTTCCCCAGCAACAGGTGCAGAGAATATAGAGAAGTCCATCAGAAAGGAGTAGGGGAGGACCTTGCTTGTGAAGACTCGAAGCAACCACACGTCAGAAGAGCCTTTCCCATGCAGGGAGGATGGGAACTTTCTAGCCACAGCAGGCTTTCTCCAGCATCAGGTCACTCCTAGAATGGGGGAGCCACACAAGAGCATACCATGTGCAGTGGCCTTTCTCATTGTGCAAAGGCATTACCAATGCAGTCAACTTGGAAATGCCTTCAGCCACAATTTCACAGTTGTATAGCACCAGAGAGTCCACACTGGGGAAAGGCCTTATTAGTAGAGAATATGGGGAATTCTTTAGACAAGCCTCTACTCTCAATATGCATCTGAGTTCACACTAAAGAAAAGTCTGAGAGAAATTTAAACCCTTTCAACAGCAAGTGAGATTTATTCAACATCAGCAAATCCACACTGGAGAAAGGTCTTATGAGTGCATCTCCTAAGAGATGTGAGTTGGAGATCCTGACTTTCCATCTGGAGCAGTGGTTAAATTTGACAGCTACTACTCTGATCTGTTTCAACACCAAAGAGTTCACACCACAGAAAAACCTTATGAGTACAGCAAATATGAGAAATTATCCAAAGCCCCAACCTCAGTAAACATCAGAGAGTTCACTCGGATGAAAGTTCTCATGAGTGTAGTGAATATGGGAAAAGGTCTAGGCTGGGCACGGTGGCTCACACCTGTTATCCCAGCAGTTAGGGAGGCCCAGGCAGGAGGATTGCTTAAGGCTGGAAGTTCGAGACCAGCCTGGACAACACAACGAGATCCTCATCTCTTCAAAAACTAAAAAAAAAAAAAGTTCTGGAGTTGTATAACCTAATTAGCAAGGCAGACATTGTTTCTATTGATTAATTCACTGCTATTCCTGTGATTCTAATAAATGATTGCAAAACAGGAAATCACAACTAACCAAATTCCTCAGATTATTAGTAGGATAATTTATAGCTGTTTGTAATTATTATATTTACACATTCGTCCTATTCTACCAAACAAAACAACCCCCACCTAGACCTAATATCTTTTACAAAAGTTAACTCAAAGTGGATCACAGACTGAAGTATACTTATTTTTTAAGTATAAAAAATAAAAGTATGATGCAGGACAGATGAGTCCCAAAGTGGGGCTCAGCCTGTGAAGGCTCTTGGCTTTACCCAGGAAAAGATTCAAGGGCAAGCCGGTGGTAGAAGAAAACAGCTTTATTGAAAAGGCAGTGTTACAGCTCTGTGACTGCCTCTGCAGAGCAGGGCTACCCAATGAGAGTGGGTCGTTGCCTCAGATAATTTCCAGATGATTTCCACGGAAATCTGTGTACCTATCCTTTACGAGGAGGTGAAGCCAATCCCTTTCTTGGGAACCTTGAGAAGCCGCGTCACCGAGAACAGAGTGCGCTCCAGGTACCACTCGGATTCTGTCAAACTACATTACCCAGAAGGCAGTGCTACAAGGGACGGAAGCCGGCCCCAAGCCATAGACGGAAAGCGCAGAGGGGCGTTTCCCGTAGCGGCGTGCGCGGGACTTCCGGCGTCCAGTCTTTGGACGCCGTTAGGTTGACGATGCTGTTGTTACCGACGCTACACCGGCCACAACGCCAGACAGGGGTCACTTCTCGAGACCAAATAGAGACGGACAGTGAGGAGGATAGGACCCACTTACACGCTTTTATGTCAGCCGCGATCTCACCCCCACAAGTGTCTGCAAAACGCTTCCTGGGGCCTTGGCGCCAGCCCTGTGTCCCCACGGCGCGCAGAGGCGGCGCCGCGAACCTTGTGCGCATTTTACACGGCGGCGAGGACTGAGGTCCCTCGCAGCCCAGAGCCGGAGCCCGGGGTCGGCCGAGCCAGCAGGACCGGCTTCCTCGCCGACTCTCACGGCCTCACCCCGCCCCCTGGGCCTATGGCGGCGCCGGCGTTGGTGAGTGGAGGGTTCCGCAGCCCGCGCGCGCTGGAGTCACCGCCCGCACGCACCCATTCTCTGTAATACGGGGGATTCTGGGACTCTGCGCTTCTCGCTTTTGATGCCCTAGTATATGGAGATCCCGGGAGAGGGTGAAGTGAGAGGGCAGGTGTAATCACTTCCTACCCAGGGTCCTGAATCCAGGACAGGAGTTGGAAGGAGAGGTCCCTGTTTCTGGCTCTAACCTTGAGCTGTCGCCTCGCTGCCCTCGGCCTCCATTCTCTCGGGTCTAAAATGCGAATCTCAATAATTTTCTCTGTGGAGGGAACTGGAGCTGGTACGCTTGTGACGTGGTCCCCTTTCAGTGGTCGGAGAGCATCACTCTAGGTGCCGTCTTTGAAGGACTTCCCAGGTCCTACTGTTGTTTTAGGGAATCATTCCAGCGGAAGTCTGGCCCTACCAAAAGCTAGGAGAGGGAATGAGAGCCTCGAGGGCAAGAGGTGAGGCGGGAGCAGCATTTTTGGCAGGAGGCTAGAAGGCAAGAAGCTCATTGGATTTGTCTTTGTGGATGCCTTGTTTATTACAAATGAATCTGGCATGCCGCCTAACAGCAGTGAATCCGTGCTCCTGTTTAACACATGCTCTTGTATTTAAAAAGCAAATCCAGTTCAATATTCATTAATGACAGTGTACGTGAATGTGTGTCTCTTGGAATGTGAGCACATAACAGGCCCCAAGTTACTCTCCAGCATGTCACACTGTTTACTCCTCATAACTCTGATCACCTTCAGGAGTTGTCTATTCATTTTTCCTCACCTGGCCTGTTCTCTAACCTCAGTCTAACCTTGTTCCAGGGTCTCTTCAGAGAGAGCTTCCCTGGTTTCATCATCACTCCCAGTCTTTGTGGTCTTCTCACTCTTGTGTTGTTTTCTAGAGTCTTCTGACTTTATCTTGATTGTTTATTGCTGAGGATCTGTCCCCTAACCCCGGAATGTGAGCTTCTGTTTTCCATCCCCAGCCCCAAAACTGTTCTGTTCTGGGCCTGTACCACTTAGTCGATAAGTGATTAATGAATGAGATTCTACCCTCTGGGGCTCCCATCCTACTTAGATTTAATTTAACCCAACCCCACCCCACACCCCACCATGGCTGCAGAGTCACTGCCCAGTCCACCAGGACACTTCCCCTCCCATTCTTCTCTCCTGCACATGCCAAGCTCATTGGACAATTTTCCCTGCCACATTGTCCCCAGATCTCTGCAAGCCTTCTCCTGGATGTGTGCTGCATTGATCTCTCCTAGGGTGCTACCGGAGCAAATAGGAAAAATACTAACAGCAACAAATAATAGCTGGTCTTCACTGAGCACACTGATAATGTGCTGAGAGGCAGTTTCTGCGTATTATCTTATTTAATGCCCTTCTTCTCAGAGTAAAATTCTTTCATTTTCCTTTCTTTACAGAAGAGGAACTGGAGACTCAGATTAACTACCCAAGGTTGCATAGGTCACAAGTAACAGAAACAATCCAGTATGTCGAGCACAAAGGCCTACATTATTTATTTATTTATTTATTTTTTGAAAGAGGGTCTAGCTCTGTTGCTCAGGCTGGAGTGCAGTGGCCGCATCACAGCTCACTAGCAATCCTCCCCACTAAGCCTCCCGAGTAGCTAGGATTATCCGTGTGTGCCACTACCCCCAGCTAATTTTTTAATTTTTTTGTAGAGACAGGGGCTCACTGTGTTGCCCAGGCTGGCCTCGAACTCCTGAACTCAAACAATCCTCCCACTTTGGCCTCTCAAAGTACTTACTGGCAGGAGTCAACGTGCCCAGCCAAAAGCTTACATTTTTAACCAATATTTCACCCACAGTGGACTGGAGATCCCTTGGGGCGACATCTAAAGTACACTTTGCAAGGGGAAGGTGCAGGCCTCTCTCTAGCAGGTGGGCATTGGAATGAAGGGGTCTTAAGGGAACCTTCCTGGCAAAGGGAACTGTATGGACAAAGGCAGAGGCATAAGGAGACGTAGAATGACACCAGGGCTTGTCACCTGCTGACATGTATTTTGTGTGATCATCTCATGATCATCGTGCCAACATCCCATTCTCACCCAGGACAGACAAGGTGCTTAAGGCAACTGCTCAGGTTCTTAGAGCCACAGCCTGCATTGCCCTTGGCCACTTGTGTTACGTGGTACCTAAGGGAAATGTGCTAATCGTGGCTCAGGAAGAAAAAGAACAGGTTGGTGCTCATTGTGGGATATTCCAGGGAGTCTGCAAGTCCCAGCTGCCTGAAGGCAGGGAAACCTTGTTTGAGCCCTCCTAAGCCTTAGGCAGTTGGCACCTCTTCAGGTACCTCTTCTATGAGGCAAAGAAGGGCTCTGCTCTTCCTTCCATATCTATGGAAGTATTTTCAGGAGTGGCTGAAATTGTTTTAATTGTAAAAATTATAGGAAATATTTTTAGCACTTGTCACTGTGGATTCACTGTGGTGATGGAGGAGTACAGGGGTTACACCCATAGATCCTGGACCTGAGGGATGTGGGTTCAAATCCTGCTTCTGCTTATTAGACATACACCTCTGAGTGACTTGACTCTGAGCCTCAGTTTGCTGACTGTGAAATGGAGATGATGATGGCATTTACATCATGGGCTATAGGATGATTACTGAAATTGACAAACACATTGTAACACATGCTGGGCACTGCAGTGTTTGCTTTATGAACGTTTTCTCATTAATTCTCACAACAGTCTGTTGAAGTGGGAACTATTAATGTATTGATGTGGAAACTGGGGCTTCAAGAAATTAAGAGACTTCTCCAAGGTCACACATCTGGCATGGGTTGGTTCAAGAGGCTGGATCTAAACTTCAGGAGCCTGATTCCAGACCTGGAGACATTTAGTTGCTTGAACACAGCATGTAAAGCCCTCGGGTGCAGGCAAATGGCGCAGACCAGTGAGGCTCAGCTACTGCTGCTGTGATTATTGTTTGAATTCTTATTTTTCCCCATTCTTCTGACGTCCTAGGATGTTACTCTCTGCTCTTCACAGTCATATGGGATTATCATTGTCTTGTATCATTTTCCAGTGGTTTCCAACATAGGAGGCTTTTCTCTCCCACATCTTTGTATTCTGTCAGCGGCACCATCTTCCTCCACAGAGTTCAGTGCTTCTCAGGAGTTGCTCAGTGATTCAGGGCCTCTGGACCCTTTGCCGGTAACCAAGAAATGGGCTGTAATTTCACCTAATAGCTCCACACCACCTGTCACCTCTGTTTGACTTCCCAGGCATTAGTATCATTTGAAGACGTGGTTGTGACCTTCACTGGAGAGGAATGGGGGCACCTGGACCTGGCCCAGAGGACCCTGTACCAGGAGGTGATGCTGGAGACCTGCAGGCTCCTAGTCTCACTGGGTAAGACCTCATTACCTTCCCATGTCGGGGACCCACAGCCTCTTTGAATCCACCCTTTCTAGGCCTGGCTGGTTTGGAAGCCTCAGGACACACCCTTCCCTGATCCCTGCAGCCTCCGCACGTTGTGGTCTGACCTCCTCTTGCTGGGTTTCCTTTCGTCTTCATCAAAGATTGTTGTGTAAGGAACACAGTCCTCCTCAACACTTTCATCCCGCTGTCTAGCACAGCCGGCCTCAGTCTGATATCCTTATCCCAGACTGCCACAAGAGGTAATTGGCCCAGCTTGGTTGAGTCAGATGTCCTCACAGCCCAGTTAGCAGGACCTGTGGATAATGGGAGGTTCTGCAAGCAGCGGGTAATTGACACAGGTACTAAGAAGGTGCTTGTTATCAGTGCTGCTGGTATCTTTCTGAGCAACACAGTCTCAGCTGAAAAGTCTATTTGGCCCCTGGCACCTGCACCCTTATTTCCTAAGGCCTGTGCCTTGCTCCTCTGCTGCTACAGATGATTATGTAAAGGGGGCATAGACACATTCTCAAATGGCATGGATGTATGCTATCTGAGAAAGCTGTTCTCTTTTTCTTTTCTCTTTCCTGCCTCTTGAATGTTGAGTGTTGGCTTAGGGCTGAATCTTTAACACTCCGGTAGCTGTTGGTGAATTTCTTCCTCAGTAGAAAGAGTAGCCTCAAACTCCCAGCCTCGAGCAGGCAGCAGGAACTTGCTGGGACCTGATACCATTTTGATTTTGCCATTTTTATAGTAACCTGTCACAGCAAGTTAACTAATACCCGTAAAGTGCTTAGAATAGAGCTGGAAACAAAATAACTTCCACATGTGTTTGCTACATTTAACAAATTAATAAATACCAAATGCTCTGCCACCTAAACCTCTAATGGCCAGTTTGCCCAGAAGTTGGTCTGAGTAGAAATTAATGGAGGCCCAAGGTCTCGCTTCGTCCAGATGTTAAAATGGTTACCGTCGACAGGGCTCTCCCAGCCCTGCGTCCCCACAAGGGATGAGTCATTAATGAAGTAAACGCGGTGTTATTTTATGACAACTGTGATTAGCTGTGAAAAGGAGATGTATGGGGAACAGCATTCCAGGAGGAGGGACCGACATGAGCAGCATCCGTGTGGGAGCAGGGTGCTTGATTCCTTAACAGAGATGAAGGCAGGCCTGATTCCCCTCTAACACTGCTCATCACCCAGCTCAGTGCCAGGCATATGGCAGAACGTTTGCTGAGTGTGCATGTGGCATGTAAGTGTGCGTAATCCTATGGTGAACATTTGCTAAGTGACAGCTGGATGCATGCCAGGACAAGATTTTCCAGTTGATGCTTCTGGGTCCTGGTGCGTCAGTCACTGACTTCTCTCCAGAGTCTTCTGTCTTTTAGCCTTCCCAGTTCGCAAAATGTGTGTGGCTGCATGTGGAAGAAGACCACCTCCTGCCAGTTTCACCCTGAAAATAATTTATTACTTCACCTGATGAGAAGCCCTGAGGTGCTGCTGGCTCCTGGCTTGGTCGATGCCAATCCATGCTAACCCAGTTCTCTATCTGCTTTCTCTCCTTAGTCTAGGGCCCTGGCCAGTACCCTTGTGGGGCAGTAGGCCTCCATATTCAGCTTCAGTCACTGGCCTGCCTTACACAACTGACTATCAATAGATGCCATTCATCAGGCGATTTAGTCCTGTGTTTTTCAACCATCATGGGCACCAAAATCACCTGGGGAGCTTTAAAAACTACCAGTGCTCAGTCCTTCTGCTCAGAGAGTTGGTTTAATTTGTTCTGTTTTTGGAACTGGGTGTTGCTAGGTAGTTTTGATGCACAGGGTGGTTGAATCCTACTGACTTAGGTTAATTAGGAAATCGTTTTGGTGAAGCGGGGGAGGGCCCCTTCTGGGGTTTCGTTGCAGTATGTTAAATGTATATACTCCTTTCCACCTCAGACTTTGCTTTTTGTCTTTACCTATAAACCATACTCCATTTGTTTCTCCATGCACAGGGCATCCTGTTCCCAAACCAGAGCTGATCTACCTACTGGAACATGGACAGGACCTGTGGACAGTGAAGAGAGGCCTCTCCCAAAGCACTTGTGCAGGTTGGTGACTTTGAGAGTCTGGCAGCGAGTATCAGGGCAGCCTGCAGACCACCCAGGCATCACTGTGTCTGAAATGCCATGGGTAGCTATTTTGTGGTCTTGAGTGGTCATGGAGCCCTTGGCCCCATGGTTCCCCATCTTCCCACTCCGTCACACACTCTTCACCTTTATTCAGGTTGGAATATGCTCAGTAGGAGACAGATTCTAGGCTTTAATGATTTGCCACTCACTAGCCTCATGACTCTGGAGAAGTTGTGTGATGTCACTGTGCCTTTGGTATATAAGTTAGGCTGAGTTATTTACCTTCTCTGAAAAATAAACTCCAAAATCCTGGCGACTTAACAGATTTAGTTTAGTTTAGTTTTTTCATCCATGCCATAGTCCAGTGTGGGTCAGCGGGAAAGCCGTGTACCTGTATTTATTTAGGGATCACATACATTCTATTGTCAATATGCAGCTTTAAGGTTGCCCCGGCCAAGAGGAATGGGAGAGGTGGCAGTAGTCACTTCCACTTGCACACACACATCACTTCCATTCACATTTCATTGACAAGAACTAGGTATTAGGATACATGTTGTATCAGGCTGGGAAATGTGGTTTAGCTTTTTTATGCCTAAGGAGAAGAGCCCATGGGTATAGTGAACATATACTTATCTGATAAACTTAGCCTACATTTGAAAGATAGTGATGATAGTTTCTGCATGACTGGGTTGTTTGGGAATGTGATTGCATAACAGGAAACTGCCTAGCACACTGCCTGACCCAGAGTGACTCAACAGAAGTTACCTGTTAGTAATATTCATGTAGTGTTAGTCATAAGGAATAGTGATAGCTCAGATGTTCTTCTGCATTCAGAAGACAGTCCTTTCTTTTCCTGCAGATTACTATTTCAAACTACACTCTGCATCCCACCATTTTTCACCTTCTCCAGCCCATCATTTATTGATCCATCCATCCATCCATCCTTTCATTTGTGTATCAGATACCCAGAAGCACTCCCTAGCCCTATTGTTTTCTGGCCCTCCTGTCTTCTAAAACCTCAAGGTGATGATTGCCTTTGTCAGTCCCACATCTGGGCTGCCAAAGGGAGCTGGAGCCATCAAGCAGCTGGATTTGTGACACTGCAGATTCACCATCTCGCCTCTCTAATGTCCTTCTCGCCTGCTCAGCCAGCTTTTACCCCTCTCCCCAGTTCCACATCTTCACTTGAATGTCTCA